CCGCCGCGCGGGGAGCAGCGGGCCCGGGCACGTACCACTGCCCCCGGGGGACGGGGCCCTAGCCCCGGCAGTACCACTAGCCCCGGGGGGAGGGGGGAATGGGCACGTACCACTAGCCCTGGGGGGAGGGGGGAATGGGCGTGTACCACTAGCCCCTCGGGGAAGGGATGGAGCTGGGGCACGTACCACTAGGTAGGAGGGGGGAATGGGGCCTGGGCATGTACCACTACCTTGTTGGGGGGGAACAGGGCAGGTGCCACTGAGCCCCTGGGGGGCGGGGCAGTGCTGGGGCAGGCTCTGCTGGGCCCCTGTTCGGAGGTGCTGGGGTTGGGGGCCCTGGAGGAGAGGCCGGGGCACCCGGGCCTGTGGGGGCTGAGGAGGGTGGGGGTTTGTGGGGTGCGACACGAGGGCCCTGTGCACCCAGCGCTTCCTCGACACGTCCTGGCCACAGGCAGGGTGTCCCGGCTTGCCGGGCGGCTCCTGCCCGGGTTCGTCTGGATCTCAGCCCCTGGAGGGAAAAGCCTCGTTCCCAGGGAACGAGTTCGGGGTTATTCCCAGGCCGTTGAGAGAGAGCAAGAAAAGGAACCGGTTTTGCTGCTTCCAGCACAGCTGGGTATCAGGCAACTGCTGAGTTTGCTGCTTCCTCCCTTACTGCCACATGGTTCCTGTCTGCGGTAGTGGGACTTCACACTTGTACCCAGACGGCTTGCTTTGTTTGGTAAGAGTCTCCAGGGCAAGTGCAGCCGAATCTCTTCGGTGTTTAAGTGGCTCAAGCTTAGATGCTTATTGCCCAGGCAGTGGCTTCAAAGTGAGGGGTCGCTACAGCAACCTCGCTGCCGCCTTGACAGCATGGCTGTCCTTCACTTGAAGTCCTTCCCTCTGCTCTCGGACGGGCTCCTCTAGATTGAGGCTGCTTGTGCTCTTACTGTTGGACCAGACCTCTCAGTCTGTCGCTCATCGCTGGCACTATAATATTAATCGAAAAGGACTCCAGATAAAGAGGGAGATATAAGAAGGCTCCTCGTGCCACCTTCCCATGCCCTTTGCTTTCCTAGCCCTGCTCTTGTCCCGGAGACTTACCGTAACTTGGACACATGCTGTTTCCCTCTGATGAAGTGCCTTTGGCTTTTGGCAGGTATGTGGTGCTGACCACAAAGCATCATGAAGGCTTCACAAACTGGGGGTCGCCCGTGTCCTGGAACTGGAATTCAGTGGATACTGGGCCCCATCGAGATCTAGTAGGGGAACTGGGAAAAGCTCTCAGAGAAAGGTATGGCACTGATGTAAATGCTGGTGGAGTTCTTACATTTCATATCTGGAGAACCACTGTCTAGAATTAGCTGTCCATTGGCCTCTCCTGATTCTCATTCATAAACTCTTGAAAGTCATACACCTAATGACAAAAATGGCATTGCCTGTGAACTAGAGAGTATCCTGCAAATGTGTAATCTCCTGCTGTTTCCTCAAGCACAGTAAAAAATGACATGACGTGCTTGTACAAGGCGGTAGCAAGGTTCACGGAGCAGGGTGGAGCTGGGAGTCTGACAACCTGGGATAGGTCTCTGATTTTACTACTAACACTTTATGACCTTGGGCGAGTCGCTCGACCTCTCTGCTGCATGTTGACGAGGGACCGTAAATGTGTCCGCCTTTATGAGCAGACAAGGTTCCTTGGGTGAATTTGATATCTTTTATTAGACCAACCCAAAAGAGATCAAATTCACCCAAGGAACCTTGTCTGCCTATGTCCTTAGACCAACACGGCTATGACCCAAACCCCTCCACCTTTATGAAGTATCTTTAAGATTCATGAATGACAGTGTCTGACACCTGTCTAAAGCAGAATCAGTCCTGAGTGCTACAATAGTATGTTCTTGTCTTAGTCCCTCCCTCTGGTATGGCATGCCTTAAAAGTGCAGTGAAGTGAATATGCAGCGAGTTTTCTTCTCAAACGGTACTTTTTGGTAAACCTAACTTCTTGTTCCTTTCTTTAATCTCTAAGGAATATATACTATGGACTGTACCATTCCCTCTTAGAGTGGTTTCATCCACTCTATTTAGATGATAAAAAAAATGGCTTCAAGACACAGAATTTTGTCTTTCAGAAGACTATGCCAGAGCTTTATGATCTTGTCTTACGGTAAGAGCTTCAATCCTTGCAATCCCAGAACATGTCTCTTTTTATTCTGAAGGGGGGGGTGGGGGGGATAAAACTTAATTGTTGCCTTCTGTCGACAAGGCAGGTCTCTAACAGTGGTCTGAGAGTGACTTTACTTGTGGTCTGGTGTAAATGAGGAAGTTGCAGTGCAGTAGGCTGTTAGCAGTTGCTGACTCAAAACATGCCTGTGGGGGAGTTTTGAAAGCATGTGAAGCTAAATTCTTTGCGTGTGGATGAAGAGGCTCTACTCAGGCAGTTAGTGTGGGGTAGCTTGCACGCTGTGAGTCTGTGCTCTAGCGTCCCTGTGCCCTGGAAACGTGTTATTTGGCATTATCTACTTCTGGCCGTTCTCCCCTGTGTAGGATGCATTTTATCCTTGCCTTTGAGCTACAGCTTTTATTAATTGCCTTTTCTTGCAAGAATGCAGGCCAATTTATGAGCAGTGCTCACATGTCCACACTGCTGCAAGAACTGCAGGTTCTACCTCAGGTTGAAAATGTTTTACTTCATACCTGGAAGCGTTTCCCAAGTTATGTTGTACAGCAAGAAAAACGTGTTTGACTACCTTTGTTTTCACTCCTTACATCCAAAGGGGAAATCCCGTTTTGTGGTGGTCGTTACTCTGGGCTAAACTGGAAGTAGAAGAAAGGAGGAATGTTACTTTTTTCTAGTGTTCTCCTTCTGTCTCTTAGGTACAAGCCAGATTTGATTTGGTCAGATGGAGAGTGGGAGGCACCGGACACGTACTGGAACTCGACCTCTTTCCTTGCATGGCTTTATAATGACAGTCCCGTCAAGGTACTGCTGTCAGGATTTCCTTTGTGTCTTCTGGTCTTTCCACTAGCTTGGGGAAAAATTGGGCAGCTTCTAATATCAGCTCTATCCAAATCAAATCCATTTGACTGATCCCAAACATGAAGTGTTTGGAACAGGGGCATCTAAAGTATTTCGCTCATAAAAGCAACTCTGCCTCTTACTGTGAAGAGATCCCAGTCACCAAACAATGCAGAACCAAAACCAGTTTACTTCTTGAGAACAGGTGTTACAGTGGAAGTATTAAGGGTCTGAGACAGAGTCCTCTCTTAACTACACTGCTCCATTGTAGGATAAAGTCGTGGTGAATGACCGCTGGGGCCAGAACTGCCCCTGCCATCACGGTGGCTTCTACAACTGTGCTGACAAATACAAGCCAGGCACCCTGCCAAATCACAAGTGGGAGATGTGCTCCTCTGTTGACAGAATTTCCTGGGGCTATCGAAGCAACATGCAACTCGCCGAGCTGATGGATGCATCCAGCATCATCAGAGTAAGAGCCCTTAGGCAGAAATAAGGGGGTTAACGGTTATGGAGGGTCAGAGGTCTTTGCTGAACTTCTGTTGTCTGGGCAGAAGCTTTCCTGATATTCTCTGTGCTGGTGTTACCTGATAGCAGGTATAAAAGGAGCAGCTTGCTGCAATCCAAGTGTTACACAGCTGTCTTCCATTTTCTGTCAGGGATGGTGAATCAAATTCATATTGCCTTCCTGTCCCTGTCACAGGAGCTAGTGCAGACCGTGAGTTTTGGAGGGAACTATCTTCTCAACGTGGGCCCTACGAAAGAAGGAGTGATTGTGCCAATCTTCCAAGAAAGGCTTCTGTCCCTTGGAGAGTGGTTGGGCATTAATGGGGAAGCGATTTATGCATCCAAGCCGTGGAGGGTGCAGGTGGAGAACAGCACGAACAATGTATGGTAAGAGCTGGTGTCTTGCACCACATGGGAACGTTTCCTCCCCTCGGACTGTGACTTCGTAGGCAAAGAGGGGCCAGGCTGCAGTTCTGAGAGGGGACAGGGAGGCATTGGAGACTGGTCAGTCGTAGTCATCTTCACTCAAGAGTACAGAACTGCGGCCCAGCAGAGTGCACTGAGAATACTGTCATGTCTGTGCATTAAAACAGCTTTAGCCCCTTTAAAAAATAGAAAATTAAAAACAAATTGCCTTCATTTTGCATGAAGCTGCTTCCAAGAACGATTGTTCAACTACACAGGATTACATGGGTACATCTCGCTTCCAAACTGCTGTGTGCTAATTGTGTAATGTGTTGTATTTCACTCTAGCTGGGTACGTGCCAGCTGTGTATAATGGTCTTGTGCCCCGTTGCTCAACTGCTGTGTTTTCTCAAAAGGAAGAAGTGCGTAATATGTATGTTAGCAGGACAAAAGTGCCGAAAAACAAAGTTGTTTTTGGAGAGTAGGCCAGAAATGCTGAGCAATAAATCGATTTGCTTGAGACCTGTAAAATAGCTTTATTCCAGCTACTGACTACAGCAGCATAGAATGAGAACATTATTATTGCAACACCCTGTCCACTCGCAGGGAGCACGCATGGACTTTGTCTGTCTGGCACTGATCACTGCTGGACTTCATAACGGATGGACTGTGGCTAATAGGGTCACTCACTATCCTAGCTACTAAGTGGGGGGACCACTAAGAGATGCTTACGCTTGACGTCTGCAGGGAAGTTGTGCAGAAAGCAAAACACTCGACTGCCTCTCTGGTGCTGTTCAGATCTCTGAAATGCCTTGTATTCCCTCAGGTACACGTCTAAAGGTCCAGCTGTTTATGCCATCTTTCTGAACTGGCCTCGGGATGACATGCTGAAGCTGTCTTCACCTATTCCATCTTCAGACACCGAAGTAAGGGACATAAGCTAGGGAGTGAATTCAGGAGATCCTTCTTTGATACACAGAGGGCTAACTTAGATCCCATCACACACACCTTGAAAATTGTATGTGGGTTTTATCTATTAAGCATGCCTTTGGGTTTTCAGTCCCAGAGAGGTCACAAAGAACCCCGTTTCCCCATGCCATATGCTCTCTGCCCTTGAGGCGTCCGGTGTTTTGAGCCGTCATCCTCCCATTTGGAAGACTGGATAGGACTTGCCAGGGCTGCTGCTTATTTGGCCATAGCATAAATCAGGACACTTCTTCCCCAGAGTTCCAGCTGTGGTGTGAGGGGAGCTGTGTGTGTCCTGGATGTCAGTAGTGAGCGCCCTGACGTGATGATGCCAAATTTTGTGCCATTTATAATGAACAAATAGTATTTCCAACCACCAGAAGTAAAACGTCCCTGAGGAAGAACCACAGCCAGATGCTCAGCCACACCTTGTGTTATAAGCTGCACTTGGGTAAACTGGGTAGTTATGGAGACCACTAGAGTGTTTTGAAGTCTTGGTCCCTGGGCTGCTAAGGAATGTCAGTTCTGCTGCTGCTCATTCAAAGGGAAAGTATTTCGCCTGAAGCAATGCATGAACATATTTTTTTTCTGTTTCCCTTTGTGCAGGTGACCCTGTTGGGATTCTCTGGGACTGTGAAGTGGGAGAAGTCCCCAGATAAGGGATTACTGATCAGTCTGCCCTCCATAGCCCCATCTGCTTTACCTATGCAATTGGGCTGGACCCTCAGGCTGAAAGGTGTAAAGTGATAGCTGTTGAAAAGAAGCCTGGAATTATTCCTTTTATTTTAAATTTTTAAGCCAAAAGAATCTAAATAAATAATTTATTCTTCCTCATCTAAGAGCTTAACTTACCTAAGCAACTCCGGCCAAGAAAGACTGGTGGTATACACACCAACATACCGCCAAACATTTTAGATGGGAGCGAAGGCCTGATCTGTTTTCTACCTCTCTGCTGACCAGTGAAGAAGTTTGCCATGACTTCCAATAGTCCTGTTCTTTTGTTGGACTGTGACTAGGGTCAGGCTTCTGAGACTTACTGGGAGATATTTAGCTGGGATTCTTTGTAGATGTTGATTTGCTGCTATGGTTTAAGGCTATGTGTCCTCATAGACACAAGATGAGTTGGGAGCAGGAACAAAAATAGTGTGGGGTGTGTACAGAGGTGCTTGAATTGAGAGCTACAGCCAAGATGACTGAAAAAAACTGAATAAATGGCACCTCAATAATATGGTAATAGGGAGCTTTAGCACTGCCAGAGACACAGGCCCTGCTGCCAAGGGGTCTTTGTGCTGAAGGAGAGTTTGGGATTCTAATAATCACCGTATTCAGTGTGCAGCTGGTGTCCACAAGCCTCTGTGGACAAACAGAAACCACTCTTCATGTTTACATTACTTTTATAATCGGGGAACGTGCCTTGGACTGGGCTGCATGGGGCTATCGCTGCACCAGGGAAAGGAAAGCAGGAAACGTGCACTGCCTGAAGACGGGAGCTGGTGTCCTCTACAGCTGCGTTAACAGAACCAGCTCGGGAGCTCGGAAAACACCTGCTAACTGACTTTAAATAGGATAATCTGCTTGTTTGAAATTTCAATCTCTGCCTCTAAACAAAATTTGGTAGCTTAACTCCTCTTACCGTGGTAGGTGAAATGATTAAATATCTTCCACAGGATGAATCCTTTATGGGTATAATTGAAGTGTAACTGAAATCAAGCATGATTTGTACGGACAGCGTACTTAAAATAAAGCCTGCGTTGGGAGAAAACATGGCTGCATTCATTTCACGTGAGCTAGAGCTGAAATACAAGGCGTGATTTATAAGTATAAAGCAAACCTTACGAGTATTTGAATTGGATGTCACTAAGGAGCTTGCCAAATCTTTTTTTTGTTGCTAGCATTGATGGGAAACCCAATCATCTCTACATTTCTGTTGCTAAGTACAGGCATCCCTAGGGGCGTGCAGGGCTGGGGGGGTGAGCGGGGAGCTGACGGTGGCTGGGGCAAGGCCTGTACGGTACTGTCCGCAGGGCCCAGGGGGGTCGCCGGTCCCCGCCAAGGATGACCCTGGCTGAGCATATTGACGTGGTGGAGACCACTCGCGTAGTTAGGGGCTGGAAGGGACCTTACAGATCATCAGGCCCGGCCCCCTGCACTTGGGCAGGAAAGACGGCTGCCATCAGATGCCCCCAGCAAGGTGGGCAACTCTCAACAGCTTAGTCTTGATGGTGGCGACCTGCACAGAGGCGCCCGCGGCCCGACTGCGTTGCCTGAACAGTGGGTTTACCCGGGCCACGTGAATGAAAGGCTCGCGCCTGAGTCTCTCCTTGTGCTACAGGCAGGTGGGAGAAGAGGGCGTCACGCTGCAGGCGAGGCACCGGGGGGTGGGGGGGCAGTGGAGCTGCTGGCACGAAGCAAGGCCGCTTCCTGCGCCGAGCTCCCCCGGCCGCGCTGGGGGCGGGCCAAGGCAAACAGCGCTGCCCCCGGGGCTTCACGTCACCGCGGTGTCGAAACGGGGCCGCGTCCAACACAAACAGGCCGCGCGGCTACAAGTAGCGGCTGGGGGCCGGCGCCGGAG